GGGAAAGAGGAAGGCAACAGCAAATCCAGTGTTGGCTGATGCTGAGGGCAGTAGTAACAGTTTAATTGAGACCCAAGTGAGGGAAGGGAATATTGGTGAAGAAAAGGAGATAAATTGGGTTGATAATGGGGAGAATCGAGAGGAAACTGAAGGAGAAGGAGAAGAAGAAGAAGAAGAAGAGGATAATGATGATGATGAAGAAGAGGAAGAGAACCCCAAAGGAGAAGATGAGAAAGACAATTTTTTTGATGAAGAAAGGACAAAACTTGATGAGGGTTTCTTCGAAATCGAGGCTATTCGTCGAAAACGAGTACGAAAGGTCTGATTCACATCTTTCTAATGGTTTTTATTGTAAATTATTATACACCCATTTTTTAGAATCTTGTGTTCAATTCTTTTGTTTGGGCTTCTTGCTTTCTGGTGAGGAGGTTTAGAATGGAAGTCAATTGTTTGTTTGTTCTTTTCTTTTTTTGATAATTTTTCTGATTGTATGTGTGTTTGTGTTGCTAACTGTGGCTGATGATGATGGAAAATGACTCTCCAATTGTTGCAAAAATAGGGTCAGTTGCAGTATCTTATTAAATGGTGAGTGTCTCTCTTATATCCCGTCAAGGTTTTACATTTTTCTGCTTCCAATTTTGTATATTACTGGTTCTTGCCTTGCATGACATGATGGTAGGATTAATATAAGGAGCAACTAATCCACTTTATTGATTCTAGGTAATTTCTTGACTGATATGCTTTATTTGTTATAAAGGCGAGGATGGCCTGAAACAGCAAACACCTGGGAGCCCTTGGAGAATTTGCAGTCGTGTTCTGACGTTATTGATGCATTTGAAGAGAGGTAGATTGGCTTTATTTTCCTTATTTTCTTAAGATTGTTTGGTTGCTGTGAATATCAAAGCAAATGATAAGTATCTTTTAGTTAGCTTTTAGTTATTGTTTCGGAATAAATGAGACAAAGATAGCTGGGATAGAAATGAGTTTGGGTATCTCAATTTTAGTCAATTTTATGTCCCTCTAAAAAGGAAGGATAAAAACAGAGACAAAACCAAGTTTTTATTTTTTTGTTTATTGTTTTTACACAAATGTCTTTTTTAATCATTTCATAATTTCAATTTATATCCTTACATTCATATCTGAACCATTTCTTTTAATTAACTGAATTTCCATCATTAGACTAAAAACTGGAAAATAAAAAATAAAAAATCATAAGAAATATGAGAAATATAAATGAGGGAGGGAGGGAGTATTTAACATAAACATTGTTGTAAAAAACTATTATCATTATGAAAAAAATAATATAATAATTAAAAATATATAATGTAGAGAAATGAAAATTAGTCATGTTCTCTGGATTTAATGATGAAAAGTGGGAGATTGAATGAGAACAAAAAAAGTGCATTTGTGATGAAATTATTATCTTGCATTCTCAACCAAGTTAGATTTTAATTTTATGTTGTTGCATGTATTTTATTTGATATATGATTTGCTTAATTATTTATTTTATTGTTAAATATATTTGGAGAAATGATTTAATGACTGATTAAATTATAATGTAATTGTATTGTTTTCTTAGCAATGAATTTTTTTTATGATATTCACAAATCCTTTTTTAACATGACTTTGATGGGTGGAGAAATTACCGTTTTAAGTTAGTTAATAAAATTAATGCGTATTATAGAATAAAGTGAAAATAATGCTATCTATTTATTGTTCCAAACACTGCACGTTAGATGGCAATATATATCAAGGATAAAATAAACATTTTTTGTTTTGTCTTGACCTACATCAATCAAAAAGAATAAAGAGACATTTACTCTGTCTTGTATACTACTACCAAAAGCAACTCTGTTTTTGTATCGCCCCTTTTGTTCTAGCTATCTCTGTCTTTTTTATTCTGAAATAGCGACCAAATGCTACCTTTTCTAGGTGACATTCATTCAAATAATCAAGTGATAAATGAGTTGTTGGCTTGGCTAACCTTCAACTTTGTTTTTTCTTTGTGGCAAATAAGAAGCAAAGAACATAAATATAGTGTCAAATTGCTTTTACTTGAGTTTTTGATTTTTGGCAGTCAAAATGACTAAAGTATATATTTACCTAACACAATTCCCTATTTACTAACAATTGTATTTTTTTTTTCTTTTGCCAACCCTTTTTTGTTGTTTGCTTGATGGATTTGAAGCTTGCGATCGGGCAGGTCTTCACGAAAGCGGAAACGCAAGCATGGGGCTCTGCATTATCCCTCCAAGAAGAAGCAGCCACGTTCCTCTGCTGTCTACAATGTAATGGATGTTGAAGTAAGTATTGCGGATAAACATCTCCCTTCTGCTCCTCTCAATAACTCATTGCTTGCCGATCTACCTTCACCCTCTCAATTTATCGGCTTAGGTCATGGAGGAGAGAGTAATGGAGATGTAAATAACATCAAAACATCCAAGCAAACTGATGAGAATGGGTCCATAAACGGTTCAAAGCATATTTTTGAAAGGAAAGAGGATAATGAATATGATCCAAAGCTTAGCGAGCTTAGAGGAACAATTCCTAACATTGATGTAAACACAAATAAGTTCACTATACATTTCCAAGAAGAAAAGGCTTCGGAAGGTAATGGTATTGCAAATGGGCTTCCCAAGGTTGATTATGTGGACCTTGTTCAGAACAGTCGATGCACTGGTGCTAAGAAAAGAAAGTCTGGTTCTGTGAAGAGGTTCAAAAAAGACTCTGTCATGTGCGAACCAGTTTTCTTACCGAATTCATCTGGAAATTTCTCAGTTGGCTCTACTGGTGCAGCTGCACAACCAGGGATTGAAAATCCTAGTTTAACTTGGGGTAATTCAAGTCACATGCCAATGACTGAAAATTCCATAAATGCATTTGCTATCACCAAGATCCTCAAGCCCATAGGCTTTTCAGCCTCTGTGTTAGACGATGTCCAGGATGTGCTGATAACCTTTCGTGCATTAAGGTATGTCATTTTACTCCATCTTCAAGATCTATCCCGTGTGAAATTTAATGATATCTTTTTCTTGTTATGCTTCTGTTGGTGGAACTAACATTTTGAGAATAGCTGGAGTTTCATTATTTATTCTGATCATCATTTATTGAGAAAATACATGCCTTTTAAGATGTACATAGCCTATTATCGATTATAACATCTCTTCCTGGCCACATTGCATTAATGGGAGACCTTCCTGTGAAAGAGTGAAATGAAGGCCTGCTCAATAGAAAACCACAGAGCCTCATTATCTCAGAAATACCACAAAATTTAATGGATCTTGTACTCAACTCAAGAAATCAAGTGTTGCTGTAATCCCAGATGGGAGGGTAATGCTTATTTGCAATGGTTGTTATAGTGTAGAGTCAGTGTTTGTGGTTAGTGCCATAGTGCGTAAAGGTTTGAGGGACTAAGAAAATCTTTAAATGAGCTGGATGTAGCAAAACGTTTCATGGAAGTGCAGGGAAGTTAACAGGAAAGAGAACAAGAAATGAGAATAGCCAGTATCACTAAAGCCACTTTTAGATGGGCTGTTCATGATGTGGTGAGGCACAATTATCTTTTTAACAGATAATGATGGTCAACTTGGATTTTTGTCCCACAAAGTGTTCATGATGAGCCAGGTCTAGAGAATTAAGCTTAGGGTTTGTTGTATGTGGAATTGAGATTGATTAAGGATGTGTTTAGTAGGGTTTGGGATTCTTACTATAGTTGTGAATAAACCAAGATTGCTGTTGCAGTAAGAGATGGAAGAATGGTGCTTAGATAAAAGAGAAGAGGAAGACAGAACACATGGTAGTTGAAGTGGACATGGGGCAAGTAAACTAAAAATCCTTGGATTCTGAGGGGACGCAACCCTCAAATCAAACCAAATACTCACAATTCCATATTCAAAGTCCTGTAGTTTTGCAGAATAAGTGCTGCTTTTATAGGAACCAAAAGCCCTTCTAGTCCTAAACTAAGAGTGAAATAGAAAATTTCTAGCTCCTAAATAAGCTAAGATTTCTAGATAGCATTAATATTCCTCAGCAAGAACAAAAAAAAACCTAAAATAGACTAGATTTACAGCAAATATCAAAATATACAAAATCAAAGATTAAATGCTAAAGTTTCTAAGCTTGTTTCGACTGCATTGCAAAATCTTTGTGGGTGGGCTACAACAAGAGCGCTTTTGAGGAAAATGTTTTCTTGGTCATCTATAACCTTTATGTTGTCATTCCTTCTTTCCCTTTTCTCCTGGAAATGGTTAAATGGTTTTAAACTTTTGTTCTTTTTGGTTGTATGGTTAACTTGTAAGTTACCCTGCGTTGCAAACTTCTTATGCTTTTCTTTTATTTTATTCACTTATTATAAAAAATATTTAAGTATAGGATGTATTCGAGCTAGAGATTAGTGAAACAAATTATTGTAGACCAGATAGAGTGGAAATTTTAAAAACATTTGGACTGGGGCTCAAGAGAGAGCAAAGAGCAGACAGATGAAAAGAAGCAGCCAATGCCAATAGTACTTTAGGTAATGTTGATAATGATTGTAAAGGTGCTTGAATGTTAAAGAAGTTATTTTTGGAGGATATAAGTTACCTTTCACCTATTAGCTTTTAATTAAGGTTTTCTTAGTTATTTGATTTTAAAAAAGGTTTCTTTGCTAACAGAGTAGCTATTTTATGTGCAGTTGGTGGATCAATAATTGAACATGAGGATTGGTTGTTCTCATCATTAAATTTACCTGAACTCTGTATTTTTCAACTCTTCCCCCCCTAACTAAACCACTTATATTCAATCTTAACATGCTATCCAAATATTGCTGCATTCACATTATTTTTCGTCAAACTATTTATTGCCAAACCAGATTCAAACAATTCAGAGAATTCTTCTCTCTTCTTTTTGTAGTTGAAGTTTCATTCTTTGGAATTGGCTTCTTCTTCTTCTTCGTTTATATATACATGTTTCTTATCTTATTGAATACTTCATTAAAGGTTATGAATTGTGTTTATTGTGAAATGAAGTATACACATAATATGAGTGGCTCATGTTCCTCGTAAAACATAATAATAATAACCTAAAAAAAAACATAAAAATCTTCCCTTTTCAAAATTGCCCCTCTTTCCTGCCAACCTCTCTACTACCCATAACCTGCCTCATTGTCAATGCTTGCTTTAAATTTCTCCTACAATGGCTTGAACCACTTAAATGTCAGGCACAGTATCATCTCTTGGTCTTGATTCTTTCCACAAACAAATCAAAGTGTCAAGCTGGTGAAGTTTGGGAATTTTAGTTGAGGAATTGGTTTCAAATGAGTTCAGGGTTTATTTTATATTTAAGTCAAGGGTGATGTTTCCTACTCCAGTTGTTAATTCTATGTCACAGGAATTACTGAGTGACTAAACTAACCTTACTCCATAATTTTCTTTAAGTACAATTGAAGTTCAATAGTATCAATTATAAAAATCCTCTTAAACCTAATGTAAAAGGAAATAATAGAAAATATATCTTGAAATTTAAACTTTTGATTCTGTAGAATATTGTGAAAAGTAAATTGTGATTTTATGACAAATAAGTTCTACATTGCTAATTTTGATTGTAAAACTAACTTGCAGTTTTAGCTATAATTTTCTAGCAATGTGACTTTTTGTTGTCGTTGAATAAAAGCTAAACCAACTTAGTATTATAAAATATTTTCCTTGTAATTCTTTTTTTATATTAAGTATTTTAATCACAAAAAAAATATTTTAGGTGATTATGAACTCAAAACCATATATTTACTTCTAAATTTAGAAAGTCTTAAAAACTTATTAAAATGATTTCCAAAAAATAACTTAATTAAAATGAAGTGTCAAATATTGTTCGAGGACACTACATGCATTGCAAACAAATTATGCTGGGCTTCTTTAGAAGAAATTATGTTGGCCTTGCTATGTTTAGAGTTGATAGATGAAATCTGACCATTTAATAGAAGAAGTGGCACGTCGAAATGAAGCCAGTACTTTTTAGTCAATCCATTTTCTGGTTTTTCTCATAATCTTTGACGAAAGAATTGAGTATTTTGTTTCATTCATTAAAGCCTGCCACGTAAGCCCCATCCATTCTTCCAGCAATAGCATCTCAAATTCCACAAATTCAGCCTGCTACTGTTGAAAAACTACCTCGGGTCACACCCTACATGTATCATTTAGAGTTATGAGTCGCTAAGTTGTCCTCAAAGCATTGCTTCCAAAGCCCTAATCAATATACAAATCATCAATGCTTTGTCTCTGAATGATTAAATAATAGTTAAAATACAGCAATCTGCTCTTAGCTGCCTGTAAAATCATCCACACACAGCTTTATAGGTTAAATCTTACTTCAGTAAATTCTTGTTCTTATTCTCATATAAACAGAGTTTAGAAGTCCAGAGCATATGAGCTCTCTTATTATGTATATATTGTGTTTCCTGCAATTTTGGATTTATGTTTGTTAAATGTTTTTTCCAGCAGCATAGTGTCATCTTTTCAAGTGGTTGCATACTGTGCAGGTCTGATGGACAAGAAGTAACAGTGGATAACAAGTTTCTCAAGGCTAATAATCCACATCTGGTAATTGATTATCATGTTGCTGATTATGTATAGTTTCTTCCTTGTCCACTTTGCACTACTTCAAACTCATGAATTTTTCACGAGTATTTTTATGATTTTGTTGTATTTACTATTCCTCCTTTTTCTTTCATTGCAGTTAATCAACTTTTATGAGCAGCATCTCAAATACAGTACATGATTGGATGGGAATTCTGGACAGAAGTTTGTATATGAAGATCTGCACCATCGTATGCTCTTGTCTGTGTACAGTGTTGTAATTCTGATAGTGCAGGACGATCAGTGTTGTCTTAGTTCAGGAATGTAAAACTAATTGATATAGCTACAGTGCATCGTTTTTCAACCTTTTCCCCACATATGATTAGGTTTTTGTATATCATCTAACTACGGTTATCTAAATATTTTACATGACAATGACTAGAACAATAGAAGTTAACATAGTTTGTAATCATGCTGTCGTCTCTCTCTGCATGTCCGTTTCTTCCACAACAAACTTTATTGCTTTTGGGTATGAATCAGTTGGATGATGTTTCTGAACATCATTATCATTATCATTCCATTTCTTATCATTATTGGTTTAGCTTGATCTCACTGGAAGCATCGAAGATAACTGTCATTGCCGAAGACTATTCTATTTATTACCACTGAACTAAACCAAGGAATGGTCCATTGGTTTTTTCTCCCCTTGTCGGATGACAATGATGTCCTTGAAGAAGTATAATTAAATCTTGGGATTAGTTGGTTTGGTTGGCCTTGAATGTAACGTTTATTATACAAAATAAATTTGATTAGAGGTCTTTTTAGGCAAGGAGGTTGCCATAGGTCAACTAATCATACTGAACCAAAGAAAAGAATCAGATTGTCATCTCCAACTACAACAAACAGTTCTTCTGTCAACCATTAAGAAGGTCGTTCCTGTGCATCCGCTGAAGCAGGAGAATCCAAAAGACTAAAGACCAATGGGGCCATCACCAATAGTACCCTCTCTCATGGTGGGAGTCCTGGGTCTGGTCGTCTTTGGCCCTATGATATTGTCACTTGCGGATTATATACTGCCACTATTTCAAGCAGGTGATGAAGATGTGGCGTTCACCTTCTGGACGGTGCTTCCTCTTTTACTGTTACTGCTCATACACACGATTTCTTCATGCTTTCCCTCTCGTGGCAGCAGGTATTTTGGTACAAAACAGGGAAGTAGTAGCTCTAGCAATGATGATGGATATGGTTTGGGATCATTACTTCTTCTTGTGCTCTTTTTCGTCCTGTATAATATTTGGTAGTAGGATTACTACTCTCCTTTTCTACGTTTTATGCGTGTGTGGCTTTCTCTTTGTGCTCATAAGACTTGAAGTTCTGATTTGCCCGTGAATGTAAACCCTGTGCACACTCTTGATCTTTTCTACAAGATTGTAAGAGAACAGAGTATTGTAAAAGAGGCAAAGAAGGAAATTCACCCTTAGCTTCTGCCTTCTGCTGGTTCTTGTGCTTTACTTTGTCCTGCATGTATAATGTTTCGGTGTCAAGATTAGTCCAGGCAAGTTGTTCTTGCTGTGTTTCCTCTAGCCAAGGGCCGAAGCCGAAGCTTCAGCAGCAAGAAAATGGGAGAATGTTATGTCATGCACCTTGCCTCTTGTAATTTGTACATGTACAGGACCAAAGTTCCATTGATTTGCTCTCGATAGGGAAAGGTGTTGCCATGGTGTTTT